TCTTTCCCTTCGAACACATACCTGAGTCTTATGGCCCCTTCCTCTGAGCTTTACTTTCGTTTCCCATGGATTCATAAGCAAAAAGCTGTCTTCAGCTGCCTTTACTACTCTTCTGCCAGAGTTTCTAAGATCCATTGTCTCCTTTTTTAAAGGGATGGGATAAAAGGAAAACAAGTAAAGCCAAACTTCATTACTCTGAAATGTTCCATGTTTCAAGGGATTTCATTTAATTTAATCCCCAAATTACCTAATTGAACACATAGTTTGTGTTCCCTTCATTCTTATTTTTAAATGTTTACATCATGAAACTAAGGTTACAGAAAGCATTGTTTATAGTAAAGGAAGGAAACTACACGCCATTTTAAGACAAGAGAGCAGGCTGGAGCTTCGAAAGGGTGGAGTGGAGGAGAGGTGAGCCAGTGGAAACAGAGCTGGGTGAGGAATGGGTGCTAACTTTTGGGTAAGAGCAGGAGCTGCAGCCTCAGCTTCATGGCATGTCACGATCTACTTCCTTGTGGTTGTGGAGGAATAAGGCAGAATCTGATTTTTTTTTCAAACAAAAACTTTGGTAGGAGGTCACCTAAAAAAAGCAAACAAAAATATCTATCCCAGTGTTTTGATCTTTGTTTGATGAAAGAGGACAAAAGAGCAGAAATGGCTTGTTTGCAGCTTTTTAAATCAAAGGATGGTACTAAGTTGTGAGCTGTTATAAACACTGTGAGGACAGAGAACATACCAGTGGCACAGAGAGATGTTATAAAACTGGATAAAATAAAATGTATCTGGAAAAACTGACCTAGCAAATCTGTACTAATTCACTCAGGGAAAATAAATCCAAAGCAACTGGTGTTCAATGGAAGAGAAACCTGGAAAAGAGAACATAGAAACAATAATCGAAGAGGGTCAGTGGTCAGCAAATTGTTCTATGCTTGTAATATGATATGTTGACATAAACAAGAAAGCCAAGTGTGGATTTTGGTTGGTTTGCCCAGAGGCAGCATGTCACTACACAGAAAGGTTATAATCCCTCTCTGCATGAGACCAGCATGACTCCATCTGGAATACAGCTTTCTGTTGTGGGCATCATCTGGTCACAAGGGCATTAGTACATATTAAGGGGTTTAGAATAAACACAGGCAAGAAGTGACTATAAAGCTGGATGGACAGAAAAAAAAAGAATTAAATTAGCTTGAATGTGTACAATTTATATGCTTTGGCTGTTTGTCTTCATAGGAGAGAAGGATGAGAAGGGAAGGAATTGCTTAGGCTTTTTTAGAGTGGCACAGTGGAGGACCCAAGGAATGATGATGAGCAAGCTGAAATTTGGCTTGAATATCTAGCAAAACATATCTGTAATGAGTTCTGTTCAGATATCCAATATTCCTAAAACTGAAGCAGTGGCGATTCAGGATATTCAAATTTGTAACCTATGACACACAGGCATGTGCATCTTTTGTTTAAAATACTGTTCTGTGAGTTTTAAGGAAGTTAAGCTTAAATTCTATGCTTTTAAAAAGTGCATGTACGAATGCTGTTTTCAATTTTTTAAACACCATGAGCCGTGTTATTTGACGCATAAGTTCATATATGACATTGCAGATTCAACTCATAACAGTTCAGCAATTCCCGTGACAATTATAATTACACACCTTCAACAGTCCCAGCTGTTTCCAGACATACTCATTTACTTACCACTAGGTGTCCTTTCAGTAGCTACTCTGCAATAGTCTGTGTAGCACAAATGTATTTGTAAAGATCAATAGCCAATTAAAGGGTATGGAGTGACTTCACCATATTGATTTCAAGTATGAAAATCATTCTGCAGAGAATTAGGTATTGGAGGATAGAGTATATTCATCAGTCATCTATTCCCTCTTTGGTGACCATTAGAGGTTAGTACTTTGAAGCATACGGCCAGTTAATCTTAGTTAAGTTGTTTAAGCAAAGGCCTGGTTCTTTTCTAAAATTTCTGGTTGTTGAGACTGACTTTTCTACTATTCAGTTTAACAGTCACTATGGTGGATTTCCCCTCTCATTCTCAGAAATGTTTTCCTTTGGTTTCAGAACAATTCTTCTGTCCACTTGGTTTACAGTCTTCCTATCTCTGTTATCAGTGGGCAGTGGCTCTATTAATAGGCCCGCTCCCCTCAAGCTATATGCATTTTGTCATTTTGCATTTTCCTGATAAGCGCTTCAAAATGGCTTGCATCAGTAACCTTCCCATCTCACCAGATATCTTGTATAAAGCAGCACGGATCTGAACCAGTGCTTAGACTGAGAGACATCAACTGCTACAGGAAGCTGTGCCGGCCATTTGGCCCTGACAAAAATTTGCCTTGGGTGGAGCTCCTGTGGGAGTGGAGTGGTACTTAGTGGCTGTGACCACTTGAGCTTGCTGGGCCTCTGTCTTGGCCGTATTCCATCTTGGTTAATTGTAGCCTGTCTTCCTTTACCACTCTTGATAATACATCCTTTAGTACCTCTCATTTCTCAGTTTTTCCACCGGCGGAAAAATGGTGGTCTTGCTCCACTTCAAAACCAACTCGCTTTTGTTCATCGTTTAAATCATTCCTTTCTAGTATAGATATCAATTTTGTAAATGAATGTAAAAAAGAATAGCACCTTGTTCTTTTAGCATCTCAGATCCTTTCTGAGAGATAGCTAACTTAAGCTTCCCAGTAACTGTAAGGAAAATACAACAATTTAGATAAACCAATACAGTTACAACTAGGGCTTAAAGCTCCTCACCTTTCAGTTCTTAGTGTAAGAACTTTTCTCAGATTCTGGTTTCTTAAGTAAGCTTGACCCCTTTCCAACAAGATTCTTCAGTTTACTTATGAAAATATCGTGAGACTAGCAATAGCCTTTTTAAAGTTATGAAGACATGTAATAGCTACTATTCTTCCCATCCACATGTCCAGTTGCAGAAGGCATTTTATGTGGTGTAACATGGCAAAATATCCTTGACAGACCTGTTGATTTCTACTTCTTTTTTATTACCTTCAAGTCTTTACAAATAGGTTGTTCATTACTTTTATCCAGTATTTTTCTAGGGATTGAAGCTCAGCGTAGTGGTTCTAGTATTCTTTGTTTTCCTCTTCCCATGCTTTCTAAAGATAAGCTCCATGTTTATCCTCTTCCAGTTTTTCAAAATCTCCCTTTTCTATCATGATTTCTCATAGACTAATAGCTAATAGCTCTGAGACTTCTTCAGCTCATTCTCAGATTATGCTGCAATGAGTTTCGCCAGGTGCAGCTAACCTGCAAATATTAAACTCATTCCAAGTACCTGAGGTGCTAGCCTTGTTGCTGGTGTTTAGTAGCAGTATCTGTCTGATCCTCGCTGATGGAAGCAAGAACAGGCAACAAACACTTAAACCTTTTTTATAGCTCCCCCTTTGCTGAGTAGCAGAAAACTCTTTTCCCAACCTTGTATGGTTAAAGGGCTTCCAGCATGCTTTTTATAACCTTCCCTTTCTTGCTACATCTTATTTTATGCATTGGCTTTTCTTTTTCTTCTTATACACTTGTGCTTTACTTAATTCATTTTTTAAAAATACTTTTTTGTGAGCTTCCAGTCATTGAAGAACTCAGGATTTTGTTAAGATGATCTTTTCTTTTATTTCCCTCTCTTCACTGCCACTGAGATAGTTTACACTTATCCCCTACATATTGGTTTGTTGAAAGAATGTCCAACTCTTACTTCCCTTAGATACCTGTCCTCTGAGGTTTTGCCTTCCAGTTCTCCAGGTGTACTGAAGTCTCCCTTCTTTAGGTCCAGTGTCTTCACTTCGCTGTGCCTTGGATTGCTGCTGCTGGAAGAACCATTGATTCCAGGATTTCCTGGTCACTTTC